TTTGGTTTTTTTTTGTTTTTTTTTTTGTTTTTGTTGTTTTTTTTTTTTTTGAGTGGAAGGGAAAATGGTGGAGTTAAAGCCAGGGTGTTAGAAGTGGCAGATAATAGGCAGTCTACCTCACCTAACTGATGTACCTGGTGGGAATTACAATAATGTCTCGTATAATAAAGAAATACTGGGGTTTCTGACAATTCTAGGTATGCCTGAAGGAATGTTGCACATGTACTAGAGCCATGGAAGAAAAGATTGACTGTGCAGTCAGACATCTTCAAAAACATGCCCTAGGGTCTCCTTTGACATTATCCCTCTTACCAGTAACTGCTTGAGAGAAAAGACAGAGAGGTAAAAAGGAATGATGACTGAGGCCCATATTTTATAGTTATATCCCATGGGGAGTAGACAGGAACATATTTCTCAGTGTGTAGATCCTTATCAGACTTGTGAAAGGGTATGATTTTTACAGAAAGCAGGCATCTACAAGCATAAAAGACCTTCCACTCACATGGAGATAGCAATAAGTCCGGAGGTGGGCAGAAGCAGCTGTGAGTGCCTGCTGACCTCAGTAAACTGACTGCCAGAGACAGAAGGCCTGCCATCTCTGATGCAGAAATCAATAAGCACCTACCAGCAAAATAAGAAGGATGCTGGGGCTGCTTCTGAGTATCTCAAAGAGGGCTGCTAAGCTGGCAGGAAGGTTCAACTGTCCAGGAGAAGGGATATCATACAGTTCTTCATAGCTATGTTCCCAGGAGAACCAAAGTTCCAGGACACGATGCCCAAACCTACTCATCAGCTCTGGATACAACAGGAAGAACCTGAGCAGGAGAGGGTGATGGGTATAGACCAGGTGCAGGTCTGAGATCCCCTCTAGGAATTTTCTGATTGCATTGATCACAACCTAGAGCAAAACAAAGAGAGAAGGGTAACTACAATCTTGCAGAGGACCTGAGACTCCAAAGTACCCTATTTATGACTTTAAAAACTGTGTTGGCATCTCAGTGCCCCGGGATGCCACTCTGGCTCATACGAAGGTACTCCCGTGGGAGAACCAACAGTGCTTACCTTATGAGTTCTTAACTAGCGTGATTGCACTCTCCATGGGATATTTTGGTAAAGTCTGGAGACATTTTTTATTACCTTGATTCAGGGATGGCTACTAGCATCAAGATACAAGAGAGGATACTACAATGCTTTACTATGCACAGGAAAACTTCCTCAGCAAAAAAATGTGTTAAAGCCAGGGCGTTAGTAGCATTAAATTGGGAAACCAGCTCTATGGTGACACTTACTACAATGTGTTGTAATTGTCAGGGATCCTGTCAACCTTTCACATTAGACTGAAGGCTGATTGAGGGTGGGTGTACCTAGCATAGGTTAATGGCACAGAAGAGGTGAAGTGGAAGGGATAGAATCATTTATTAGCCCTTAAAAATCTATCTCTTCCCATTACATATATAACAACATTCACTTAATATGCTATTCTAAAAGTTTTACAATTTTGGTTCTTTCATTAAAATCTTTGATTTATTTTGAGTAAATTTTGTGTGCAACTTCATTCTTTTGCACATGGATTTCCAGTTGTCCCTGAAATTTCTTTGAAAAGACTATTTTCCTCATTGCATTGTCTTGGTATCTTTACACAAATCAATTGACTATAAAAAAATGAAGATGATTGTAAATTTTCAATTCTGTTTCACTGATCTAAATGCCCATTTTAATGCCAGTAATACTTTTTTTTGTGAACTGTGGATTTGGATTGGGGACTGGGAGCTACATCTCCAGCCCCCTTTTTATTTTTAAACAGTGTCTCACTAAATTTGGTAGGTTGTTCAGGCTGGGCTCAGACTTGTGATCCTTCTGCCTCAGTCTTCCAGACTGCTGGGATTATAGGCATAGGCCATATATCAAGTAGTATAAGTCCTCCAAGACTTAAGAGTAAATCCTCAAGACTGCTTTAGGTCCCTTGAATTTCCATATGAATTTTAGGACCAGTCTGTCCATTTCTGGGGAAAAAAATCTGGCAATGAGGATTTTGATATGGATTGCATTGTATCTACAGGTCAATTTAGGGAGTACTGCCAACTGAATACTATTAAGTATCTTTCTTCTTTCCCTCCTTCCTTCTTTCTTTCTTTTTTTGGTGGTCCTGCATATTGAACCCAAGGCTTCATGCATACTACACAAGTGTTGTCGCACTGAGCTACATCTTCCATCCTCTCTCTCTCTTTTGTAATGCTCACTGCAGAAGTAAATTCCCATGCAGGAAACTGTTTTGTATCTCCTGGCAAATTTATACTCTCTGAGGGCGAGGAATTTACTTGGTTCATCTCAACCTGATGGGGACCCACATGGTACCAAGAACATGTCAAGTATCAGTCCATGCTGACTGAGTTGCTAAAATGTTAAGAAACAAATAAAGGCTGGGTATGGTGGTACACACCTGTAATCCCCTCATTCTGAGAGGCTGAGACAGAAGGATTCAAGCCCAACCTAGGCAACCTATCACAGTGATTTAATAAGACCCTGTCTCAAAATATTCTCCACTGGTTCTCATAGAGGATCAAGTTCTGTGAGTCAGAAGGATCTCGGAGAATGCTGCTGGTATAAACTGAAATTTTGGGGCTGGAGATGTAGTTCAGTGGCAGAGGATTTGCCTAGCATGTACAAGCCTCTGGGTTTGAACCCCCAGCATGGTATTTTAAAAAGTGGAATTTGATTATTAACTATGGATTAGGTAATAATATTGTATCCAATGGTAAATTTCCTGATTTTGGGCTGCGGATTTAGCTCAGTGGTTCTGGCGCCTATCTCACAAGTGCAAGGGCTCAAGTTCAATCCCTGGTACCAAAAAAAAAAAATTCCTGATTTTGATCACAGAATTGTGGTCCTATAAAATAAACTCCTTAGGAAATATGCATTGAAGTATTTAATGTATAAAAGGACACATCTAAAAATCATCTGAAAATTATTTTCAAGTGGTTCGGGAAAAAAAAACATGGCACCCCCATGCTTGGGGACAAGAAAGAGAAAATAAAATGAAGCAAAATTGTAAAAATTGATGAATTGGGGCAATTAGTAGTTCTTATTTCACTAGGTTCAAGAATGCTACTCAATATACTCTTGCAATATTTTTAAAGTGTGAAATTATATCAAAATAAAGTTGAGTAAAAAAATCAAGTTATGCCAGGCATGGTAGCACACATCTGCAATCTCAGCACTTAGAAGGGTGAAGTAGGAAAAATGGAAACTTAAGGCCAGCCTGAACTACATAATGAGATGCTATTTCAAACAAAACAAAACAAAAATCAAACTGTATATTTCCACTTACATATTTACATAAAGATTTTATAAAACAATGTTACGTAACACTTACGGATTCATGTCTAAAAGGGGAAGCCCAGAGCTATATGAGCTGCCTTCCTAGTCTCAATAGCACCACAGGTAGATGTAAAAAGGGGCCAAAAATCCATCCTTGCTCCATTATCAGTCCTCAAGTTATCCAGGCTGTTCTTATCATGCCCTTTCCTCTGTTTATATCAGTTACCTCAGAAGCCCAGGATCATCCCCATGACTCAGGATGTGCCCTTTCCTTGCCAGCCTCCCATTCTTTTTTGAGACACGGTGTCACTATGTCTTTGAACTCACTTGAGTTCATGGTGATCTTCCTGCCTCAGCCTCCCACATGCTGGGAGTACAGGCATGCATCATCATACCTGGCTCTTCTATCTCAATCCAACAATTCTTTTCCCTATTAGAACAAGAACCATTGGAAACATCTTTTCATTTTCTCTTATTCGCACATCTCACATCTGATCCATCCAATAAATGCTATTGGCTGCACCTCAAAACATTTTTGAAGTAGACACTTTCCATCACCTCCCCTGTTACCTGCCTAAAATCATTGCTCTAGTCTCCTTTATTTTTTTTAAGTACTGGGGATCAAACTCGGGTCCTTGCGCTTGCAAGGCAGGCAGCGGAACCACTGAGCCAAATCCCCGGCCCTCTAGTCTCCTATCAAGTCTTTCCACTTCCACCCTTGCACTCTTTCAGTCTAACATTCTAGCTGACAGAGTGACTTGTGTAATTCTGGTTGTCACCCCAGCAGAAAGGCTGTATGAGATTACCAGAGCAAACATTTAGACAGAAGAGAGATGCAGAATTTAGTCAGACTGCACCCAGCTGGACATGGTGGTACACACCTGTAATTCCAGCTATTCTAGAAGCTGAGGCAGGAGGATCACAAGTTTAAATCCAGCCTGGGTAACTTAGTGAGATCCTGTCTCAATTGTTTTTAAGGGTGAGGCAGGTTGGGGCTGTAGCTTAGTGACAGTGTTTGCTTCACACATGTGAGCCTCTAGGTTTGATGCCCAAAACAAAAAAGAGTGCACCATGGGGCCCTACAACACTTAAAAGGTCAGAAGGCAAGAGGCAATCAACAAAGGAGACTGAAACAGAAGATCAGAGAGGCAACAGGAAAACATGACATACGTGGTATTCTAGATGCCAAGACAAGACAGTGTTTCAAAGAAAAGAGATGATGTTGACAGGCCAAGTAGAATAATGACTAAATATTGGGTACGGGTTATACTCATGTGTTAGCCAATGGTCACTTTGATGAGCACATTTTTCCAAGATGTGGTAGGAGTGAAAGCCTAATTAGAATACATTAAAAAAAGAATGGAAAAGCAGGAAACATAAAACAAGACTGAAGGATCCTGTCATCCTAGAAAACCCAAAATTCAATCAGAAGTAGTAGGATTGTGCCAAAAGATGTAGGCACGTCCTTGAGTAAAGATACCACCGCCCAAAGATGGGACAACTTAAGCCTCAAAATGATATAATTAGATGCAATTAATATACATCAAATATTTTAAATCCTTGGGTTCAGAATTATACTAAATAACCAACTCATTTTTTAAGAAATGTAAATAAAGAGAACCAATCTCAAATGGGGATGTAGCTTAGTAGTAAACAAAGTGTATGCTTTTTTTTTTCTTTTCTTTTTTGGTATCAGGAGTCAAGCTCAGAACCTTGAGCTTGCAAGGCAGGTGGAGGCACCACTGAGCAAAATCCCCAGCCCATAGTGTATGCTTTTAACACATGTGAGGTCGTAGGTTTTATCTCCAGTGTTAAAAATAAAATAATCAGAATCAAACATTTAACTTACAGAATAACTGAATTGTTGATGAAAGGAAGTTTGCTTTGGGTTGGATTTTTTTTTTTTTTTTTTTTTTACAGGGTCTCACTCACTATGTAGTTTAGACTG